GTTAAAGTAACAAGATATGTTTAAGCTATTTTTGATCATTTCTTTTGGTTCATTCATCATGAAATGTTCAGTTAATGTAACTGGCAGCTGGAGTTTTAAATGGTGCAAAACAAATGTATATATAAACATTTCATTTATTTCATTTTTATTAAAAACAGCCGTTTAGCACAAGTTATTTTCATGCTAGGAAAAAAGGCAGAAAACATTAACAGTAAATTACACAGAATCCTTAATAACTAAATGTAATTTCGATTTTTTCACTATTGACTGTTCACTCATTTCTTTTATAAAAGCTTCCATTCTTTTCAAGAGACTTTGCTTTTAGGCTTTCAACGAAATTTGCCTTTTACCCACCTCCAAAGTTCAGTCTTAAAAGTTGGTTGCATTTTCACTTTCTCAGAATGCACACATTCATTAATGTTGGAGTCTGGACTATGGGGTAGTCAGTCCATTATTCTGAGAACACCAGCAGCTTCCTTGTTTGATTTGCAAATTTTCTTCTTTCCTCTATTTCCTTTCTCAGTAAGATCTTCTTGACAGCTACACATCCTTTCAGACTCAGCTTTGTCTGCTCACAGTGGAAGTATGGACAGAACCACCTGCGGATGTTTTCAGTTCTGAGGCAGCTTGATTTTCTCCTCTCTCTCAAAGATGAAAGCTTTAGGTGCTGTTTATCTGATGGGGAGAGTTTTGGTGTCTACCAGGTCTTGTCGGTGGTTAGTAGGAGTCCAACTCCCTCTACATCTTTGAATTATTGTGTGAACTTCAGATTTGGAAACTGCCCCCCTTTTTCTTTGATATACCTCCTGTTTTGTGCACATGGATTATCTTATATCTAATCCTCTCAGAAAAATCTCCTGAAAATGAAAATAAAATTAATAACTTGCACTTCATACAGGTTTTGACTGAAAATAAAATGAGATGAAAATAAAAAAAAAGAGACAAAAGGGTGGACTTTTGTATAGTACTGTACAGGGAAGCACGCATACAAATTCTGTCTCATTACAAATTATATATATATTTGTCAATAAAATAGCAGAATATGTTGCACAGTCATTATGAAGAATCTTTTCAGCCTTTCCTGTCGTGACCCTGATATTCAGCCAGGGTCGGCTGTGGACGCTGCAGCACACAGAGAGCTGAAACAGTGCGAGGTGTGAAGACCCGCTCTTCACGGAGAGGCTGCAGGACATGCTTGATTCATTTGTGCTGTGGAAAGTGCTTGAAGAAATAGAACAGGAAAGACAGCAAATATTAAAAAGGACTGAACTTTCCTTCTCTTCACTGTAATTGTTCAGCATGTTGGCTTATCTAGTCGTTGTTGTTGTTTTCTCTCTGCAAAACATTGGAAGCTTTGCACAACTCCCAATTAAACACCCTGCTTTTGATTTGCTGTGCCAGGTGATCTCAGAGGACACACCTTGATATTGCACTTTCTATGATTCATTTGTTAGCTTACATTTGGTGCCTTAATGTACACGAGGTGGGTGTGCAAACTCAAATTTCCACTCGTGATTGAAAACCTAAATGATCAAATGCAGGAAGGATACAAATATGAGCTGTGTCTACAAGACCAGAAAAAAAAGGATGTCATATGAAAAGCAACAGCAAAAGAGTGGAAGAAGGAGAGAAAATAAACAATGGGGCTTTGTGTTCCTGTGGCTCGTAATAAAAACCAAAAGAAATTCATGAAGACGTCTATCTTAAGCTTGATGCGCGACCTGCGAAGGCAAGATCAAATAAAAATCAAACTCAATTGTTAGCTGTTTGGTAGCAGTAATGGATTCATAATTTCCTATTTTTAGATAGTTTTAATGACTACAGAAGTAAACACCCCTTTCCCTGCTACCGAACTCCAATTATAAGTGAAAAAGAAAATGCAGCAGTTTCACCATTTCTGAGAGGAGAGAAAAACACCTTCATCTGTTGGTGGTGGTGGTGGTGGGGGGGATGACAACCATTAAAATAAATAAATTAATTACAATTTTAGGAAAATCAAGCTTCTCCCCCTTTTTCGGCAATCTAAACAACCTGTTAATAACCATTTCAATTTTTCTATTTTTAAAATTCTTAATGAGAGCAAGTCTTATTGAAACGTGCATATGAAACCAGTGGAGTTACCAAAGATAAAAATTAATGAAGGATCAGTCTGGGATATAATATAATGCCATTGTTTACCGGAAGGCTGGTATAAATTACTGCATTTACATTTTAAGACTATGGCACAATATTTGAAGTGTTTTCTTTTTTCCCCTTGTTGAAAAAAAGTAGAAAAAGACAAGTTGTGAAGAAAATTATTCAAAACTTGGAAAAACTTGCTGTAAACTCTAAACAAGGTATACATGAACAGCAGCCCTGTCTCTATTCACTGTCAAGACTTTCTCAGAGCACGTCGAAAGTAAGCGTAATTAACAACGGACTCTCAATTCAGTCACATTCAGTGTTTTCAATAAAATTTCATGCTAAAAATTCTCAAACGACTGCCATATCCTCTCCAAGCCACACCAATTATTCTCTCTATTTGTAAATCCATAGATTCTGCATGGAACGGAACCGCTACTGGCATGGAAGCGTTTCTAATAGTCAATAAATCTAAAATATTATGTGTGAAATTGGGGAAAATGGCCATTAAGCGATGGACAGCAAAGAGCTCAGCATAGGGTCCCGTCTGAAAAAAGGGGCAGGTAATGCAGGACAACTGTCACCTCTGACCCGTCTAAGAGCTAGACCAATGGTCAGACTCACCCAATAATAGAGTCCACATGGCAAAAAAGTCTTCGCAGCCATAATTATATGAATCTCAAAAGGTTCAGCTTAAATCAATATAAGACGACTTCTTTAAAACAAAGACGAAATGCTGCAGGGCTCATTTTTATTATATTTTCCTTTTTAGCAGTAAAAGATATTGATTTTCTTTTGGAGCTGGAATGCTAAAAATCCTGTAAAGTAAAAGCCTAAAGAATTTTTTTTCATTGTTATAATTCTGAATTATGAAACTCAGAATTACAAGTAAGTAGTAAGTAGTTTTAAGCTTTAACCGTGTTCTCATGTAAATCATATTTGCAATCATACTGATTTGCAGTTGGTGTCTTGTAGGAAAATGCCGTGTGACAGACAGTTTAACTAGCAAACGGGGGGGAAAAAGAGACCTTGAGCTTTGCTCAATTAGAGCCTTTTCCTTTTGTTATGAATTTTAATATCCCCAAAGGTAGGATAGCCAGTAAAAGAGAAAGAGGAATGAAATTTTTGTGGCGATAAATATATTATTGCAGGTGACATCTACATTTCAGGTAGGGGTAATTTAACATGATATGCAGAGCATGTTCTATCATTAGTCAATGAAAAATTGCATGAGAGGATCAAAGCAAACATTGCGCTGGCACTTAATTTATCAGAGTATGAAGACAAAGGGCTTTTTTTGCTTTTCTCTGTCAGTTTCAAAAGACCTTACTCCTTTTTATGACACTCTCAGTTTGCAATTTAATTTACAAATGGAACGCCAGTGCGGTGACAGCATCACAAAACAGTGAGGGTTTTTTCCCCCCACTTAGATAGATAGCAGCAGGGCTCCAATGATTCATATAGGACCAATAAAATACACCCCCCAGCGAGCCAGAGAAAAGGAAGGGGGGGCGAAAAAAAAAACAAACAAATTCCTTAATGTTCAAAAAGGGACAGATGACAGACATATTTCTGACCCTGACGGTAGCTGCATTTCCTGTTGCACTGACCGGTGTCACCACAACATTAATTAAAGGGAGAAGGCGCTGGCAGGTGGCTGGAAAGCGGCGACTGATAATTGGCCCCCTTCTCTCACTGCGCCTTCAGAAAAATCCAGCGCGCTCTCTTCCAGCGAGACGTGCCACTGGGCAGGCAGAAAAGGCACGCTTTGTAAAAATAATGATTAAAATAAAAAAAGAAAGAGAGAAAGAAAGAAAATGAGATGAAGGCTGGAAGCTGCGCGTTCGCTGAGGCTCTGACGGCCAGTGAATAGCGCTGGCCTTTAAACGAGGCGAGACGAGTTTACCCAGCGCAGTTTGAGGATTTACCACTGCAGATACTAATGACGAAGAGAGAGAGAGGGGGGGGGGTGTTTTTCTGTGGCCAGAGCCCGTGTGTTTGTTAAAGCGTTGGAGTGGGTGAGAAAGAGAATGAGGAACACACAGAGGAAGCATGTGTGAAAGAGGCACTGAGTGTGTGTGTATCGGCTTGGAAGAACAAGAGAAAAACAGAAACCAAAAATGCCAAGATTTGTGCTTCTATACAGTGCTGTGCAAAAATCAGAGGTCACCCTTCATTTATTTAATTTCCAGTCAGAACAGCAATTAAGTACAAGTAATCCATTATTCGGGAGATTTTTCTGAGGAGATCAAATATATTGTAATCCACCTGCATAAGAGAGAGAGAGGAGAAAATCAAGCTGCTTCAGATCTGAAAAAAATCCACAGGTGTTTCTGCCCATCCTTCCACTGTAAGAAGACAACTCAGCACTATGGGTCTGAAAAGATCTGGAGATGTCAAGAGGGAAATACAATAAGAATAAAAAGAAGAATCAAACAAAGAAGCTGCTGGTGTTCTCAGAACAGTGGACTGACCACCTTAGAGTCCAACCAAATTCTAAGTCTGAACTTTGGAGGAGTTCAAAAATATTCCTGCAGATTTCTTTAAAAAATTGAAAATGAGTCTCCTGAAAACAATGGAAGATATAAGGAAAAACACAGACACACTAAATACTGAAAATTGAATATCATATTTAGTCATTTTTTTATATTATATTTAGTGAAACTTCCATGTTGTTTTTCCTTTTTTTCCTGATGGTGAAAACTGAACATCTTACACTTCATGGCTGTTTTGATTTGATATTAAATAAATGAAGGGAGGTCTCTGTCTGACTTTTCTACAGTACTGTATGTGTGTATGTGAATGTGTGTGTGTGTGTTTGTGTATGTGTGTGTGTGTGAGAAGCATGTATTGAAGCACTTGTAGCTGTGGGCACTCACCACATCGCTGGGCAGGTTGTGCAGGTCATCTGTGGGGCTCTCCAGTGTGTTTGTGTCCACATTCAGAATGACCACGTCTTCAAGGGACTTGTTCTTTACTCTCTGCAGGAATACAATAGATTAGAAGCTTTTCAACCAAAATAACAGTATGACAATGATATTTTCTTTTGATTGACTGCTTGACTGAAAATTTCTTTTTGCAGTATCAATGAAAATAAGCAATAATCTACACTAACTACCAGCTTCTAGCATAATACCTGAGGAGAGAGTGACTGAGCTATATTAGTAAATGTGTAGTTAAAACACAGTGAGAGACAAGCTTATTATAACTGCATTCAATTAGTATCCACCCACCCCCACCCCCTAACACATCTGTGGGTAACAAATACTAGCTTTATGCATTATGACAATTTTAATCACGACTGAAACATGAATTGAAAGATTCCAGTCTTAACAATGACAGCAGCAAAATGTGTTATCAAAACAGCACAAAATATGCAACACAATCATAATGAATATTTAGTACACAGGGTGCACTATGATCTTGGAATCATTTAACTGCCTAATACATGATCTGCATGAGATAGAGGCTGAGGTTTGGAGATTTCATACAGATTTTTTATTTATTGTGCTCCTGAAGACCAGAACTTTTAAGCTGATGCTGGGTTGCTGTGCTAAAGGCCTGCATTGTATTCATTTTACTGCAATTGTAACCCTACAGAAATGAACATTATATTTCTCCAAATTCAAGTAGATGTTCAAAAATATCAGCCCACAATTCTCATATTAGTACATCCCTAATATTCAGTATTTACCAAACTAATAATGACTTAAAGAACATAATTTAAATGCAGTTTCAAATCCAAACCAAAAAATATAAACTATCGCTCACAAACCACCAAGACACTTCAAACTTATCAAAAATGGAAAAGGCTGCATTCAGCCACTTCGGGTACAGGACAATATTTTTTGTTGAGGTGCCTCCTGCATCCGCACAAAAAAGGTAGTCACGCATCCTGATGGCGACAAATCCCGCAATTATTCTAACGGTGCAGGTGGGGAAACAGCCGAGTGTGTAAAAAAATTTCTGGTTTGTCACTTTTGACAGTCGCTGCTACGGAGGCCCGCGTGCTGATTTGGTCTAATTATGTGCAGCCAGACAGGGGGACTGTCACTAATGCGAAAGTGTGATAAATACTGCCAGTGCCTGCGACTGTCAGCGCTATCAAATCCACACGCGCTGCTATAGGTCTACCTCCAACCAACACGCCAGCTTCCAATAACCATACACACCAGCTCTTTGTTTCTCTGCTCTATCCCACTCTTTCATATCCCTGCTATGCACGCACCCGGGAGATAAAAAGCAAAACAATCTGTCAATTTCTGTAGATATCCTTGTGTTCGGCGCCGAGGCGTCAAAGTAAATATCGCGCCATTAGAATTTCAAACAATTGAACAGATTTCAGTGACGTTATTGGCACAGACCGGTTGAATTAGGACAGCTGAGCTGAAATGACCACATGTATACTGCACAGTGACAGACAGAAAGTAGATGGACTAAAATAAAATAAAAAAAAAAATTAAAAAAAGCATAAAAAACAAAAAAGCATAGTGTTATATAACGTAAGAAGCAGCCTGAGAGCTGTTTTTGATAAAGGCGTTTGGTGAAGTGTTTAGGGGAGGATAAACAGACATTGAGCTGCTGACAGTAGATTGATGTTGCTTACCTCTAACAGGCTCAGATGAACTCCAATCAGATATGGCATGGGCGCACTATTGGGAATAGAGGCAAGCCACAGTCATTAGCAACAGAACTAATAATAACCTACAAACTGCTCACCAGTCAATGCAGAGGGAGCTGGTCAAGCCCAACATAGTGAATTTAAAAACACTGGCATTAGCTCAGCAATCTTAAAGAATAGTGACAAATGAACAGAGCTTATATATAGACAAAAAACTGACAAATATCTGAGACAAAATGCGCTTAGAGAGGTAAACTTTATTAGCGTCTTTGGCTGTTTCCAGGAAGGGGCACTCTGAGCGGTGAAGGTGATTAGTGTAATTGGTGAGCGTCACTTTTCAGGCTTGCTGGAGTGTGGAGCGAGGCAGGGCCGCATAATTAGATAGGTTTGGGTAGCTGCTGCTGCGGTTGCTCAATCAAGTTACGCGGCTAATAGGCTAGTCTTGCTGCTGCATCTGCTACGGCCTCTGCTTCGGCAGACGTGGGGAAGGACAGAGAGAAAGAGAGTGAGAGTGAGAGTGAGAGAGAGAGAGAGAGAGAGAGAGAGAGAGAGAGAGAGAGAGCATGCATTCACTGCTATTACCGTATTACTGACCAGGCCTGTAATATTAATTCATTCTAAAGGTCTAGCCTTAACTTCCAGTACTTTTTACTACTGTACGTTCTCTATTCAAACAAGGTACTTTTTGGAATAACTTAACTGGACACTAAATGAAACTATTAAAAAAAGGGATAATTTGTAATATAAATAAAACAAGCACTAGACACTCTAGTCTGCTCAGACAAGGTGTTGTATGTAATATTTTCTACCAAATAATCAGTGGACACTCTAGTAGGCTATTCAAACGAGGTATTAATTGTAATATATTTCAATAAATAAGCATTGGACACTCTAGTAGAAAGACTGTAAAAACAAGGTTTTAATTGTAATATATTATAATAAATGAGCAGCATTCATGAGCTGTAACTATTCAAACAATGTATTTTTTGTACTATATTCTTTTAATTAGGTAACACACATCGTAGCAGAAACTCTATGCAAACAGGGTATTATTTGTAATATATTGTAATAAATAAGCAGTTGACAAACTTATCTATAAGCGTTGGCATTCCATGCTGGAACAAAGGTCTTGACATAAATGAGACAAAACAAAAACCCCAGCAATGCTATATGAAGCCATTCTGGAAAAGAGTTTTTCCTTAAGACATACGGACCACTTTGAATTCTCCACATCAGCCGAAGCGTACAGTTCACCGAGTGCCTACCAGGCCAATTATACTGCGTATAAATGCACTCTTTATTTCGTCTGCTCATTTGTGCTGTAAAGTAAAAGGAAGTGCTGTAGGTGGCACTGGGGTCAAGCACAGCAGCATGGGCCAATCAAAGCGAGAATGTATTAACAGTATGGCTAGCTAATGCAGAGCAGAGAGATACGTTAGCCCGTGGTAATGGCCAAAGTCCAGAACTGGCATGCAGAGACCAAAGCGCCTGTGGTAGCTATATCCCCCTGCAAAACAACAAGGACTCAGCAAGCCAGGCTCGGCGGGCAATGCTGGTTCAAATGTACCGGATTTTAGTCCGATTTGTAATATTCAAATCCGCCGAGATTTCAGACACGCTGGAAGATGAGCTTAACCAGCTGAAGAAATCAAATATTTAGGAAGGTTATTCTGAATGTTCATTACGTACAGACGACCCTGTATGCCAGACATCCAGAACTGTGCCGAATCTGGGCTTTAATCACCACTGGAGCGCGCGGCACACTTAGCCCCGCTGAATAACTCAAATAATAATGACCCCAACAAGAAATGGATGGCAAGTAAAGTTGCATGAATCTTGGATGATTTCTCTAAGAATAGATAAGAAACGTGCAAGCTATATCCAACACCAAAGCAAAGCACGCACCCGTGCGCATCCTGAGCTCAAAGCCATGGGCAAGCCTGAGTGAAAGACATCTAGGAGAGTATCTGCACGCCTGTGTGGAAAGTTGTATCTCTATGAGGCTGAATAAGTGGAAGAGCAAGCGAGCGAGTGAGCGTATGAGCAGTGATCTTACCAGCAGTAGTCCAGCAGGTGTGGGGGAAGTACAGGGATGTAGATGTGTTGCCAGTGCATAGGGTAGAGCATGGCGGCGGACCCATGCACACATGCAGTTAACTACAAGGAAATGAGAGCAAAAAAATAAAAAAAATGACACAGAGACATACTTATGAGTCCCCCTGTAATCACAGTCAAAAAAGCACTCCTTTAGAAAAGCTACAGTAGAGTACAGAACACCATGTTCAGTGTGCTATGCTTCAGGGGATTCTATATAATGTGGGCCAGGAGAGCAAGTAGAATCAGAGTTAGCCTTTCATCTTTAAAATCACGCATTAAACACAAGAGGGTTTTTTTTCTTTGCGCTTTTTGGCTCTGATGCATACAGGTTTAGGAGACTAAACTGAGATCATGGCATCTATCAAGTGGTATTTATCTATCTATCCATTTCTTTCTTTATTTATTTATTCACAGTGCTGTGCAAACGTCAGAGATAAACCTTCATTTACGAAATTTCCAGTCAAAATGGACAATAAGTACAAGCTATTCATTTTTCAGCATCAAGACACATTAACAGAAAATTACACAAAATCTGTAACACCTTCATATAATATCACTTTTCAATATTTGCAATATTTTGTGTGTCCAGTCTTTACCTTTATTACAGCTTCCACTCTTTTCAGACTCACTTTCAGTTTTTTTAAAAAAATGTACAGGGATATTTTTCCAGACTTCCTAAATTTAGTCTTAGAAGTTTGTTGTATTTTTGCTTTTAATAATCCAAGTAATCCAAAACACATTCAGTGATTTTGACGTCTGGACTCTGGGGTGGCCAGTCCATTGTTCTGAGAACACCAGCAGCTTCTTTATTTGCTTTGCAAATTTCTTTTTACTTAGTTGTGGCGTCCTGACAGATACACATCCTTTCAGACCCGTAGTGCTGAGTTGTCTTCTCACAGTGGAAGGATAGACAGAAACGCCTGTGGATGTTTTCAGATCTGAAGCACCTTGATTTTCTCCTCTCTCTCAAAGATGAAAGCTCTAAGTGCTGTTTATTACCAGGTTTTGCATGCTTATTAGTAGTCCTCTTTTGTCTATGACTTCTAATACCTTTTTGAACCATTTTGGAAACTCTTGTTATAACACTAATTTTACTTCGACTTTCCTGTTTTTAATGCGAGTGGATCAACTTATGTCTAATCTCCTCATTAATATTTAATGGAAAACGAACAATGTGTTTTTATGACTATTTTGACTGGAAATTAAATGAAGCGTGGTCCCTGACTTTTACACAGAGCTTAGTATTCACATACTGAAACTGAGTTTAGAGTTTTAACTTAATGAAATTGAGTTTAATTTAAAGAGTATACCACTGTTCCTTTGCTGCAACATAATTAGCATGTAATTAGGTGTTTTTAAGATTCTTCAATAAGAGGAATAAATAAAGCCAATAAACAAAAAGCCAACAGTTAATTGTATGGCTGGTGTGGTGAAAACCCAAGTGAACCCTCTTCACACCCCCAATCCATGCTTGTGGCTACCTAGCAATTGTAATGACCTACACACATACACACACACATACACACACACATACACACTCATCTACTAGATTAAAATAACATGATTAAATATGGAAAAAGAACAGAGGTCTGAAGGCTCCTTTGGGACTTCATTAGGGCAAATTGCCAAAGAATGAAACATGAGTTAGCTGAGAGAGACCGTGAGCCGCTGGAATACCGGAGGGAGGCGGGCTGGGTGAGGGTTTTTTTTTTTGGTGGGGTGAGGTGGGGTGGTCTGCTTGACAATTGGAGCTTCCAGTAATGTGTGAACCCCTGCTCTAAACTATCATGAGACCCCACTCCCACCCCCCCGCTTGCTGACACACAATGTCACAAGTGACCAGTAAAAACGGCGGTACAGCAGCCAGCTTAAAACGTATTCTCCCTTCTCTACCTACACAAGGCCAAGCGTAAAGCAGGGCAAGCATATCATTGTGCAAGTTGGTATAACGTGTGCCTTTGTGTTACATTCTAAACAAGAAACACTGAACGCACCCACTTCGGCTAAGTTGAGCTTTAATTAAGAAGAAGAAACCAGGCCTTGTTCTGCATTTTTACATATGCAAATTTGTTTGTGCCATTTTCTTTGTAAATAAGGAACCTTAAGCAGTGACATCTAATTGTGTCTGGGTAATTTAGGAGTAATAAATGAATATTAATATCATCTCACACCAGGTGGGTATCAGATGATATCAAAGCCACCAGACATTCTCTGTTTCATTACTGTTTTCCTTAAATGACCCTGCAACGGTAAGTGATGTCGAGAGGTCACTGCGCTGCTCGGGAACACTTTTCTTCAACTGTGCAAACAGGTTGCTGTCTCATTTCCCGGAGAGAAACCTTTCCGTACCACGTAGAGATGTGGAAGATGACTCGGGATCGCACTCCAATTATTTCAACAAAGCTTAAACACAAGCCCCATTGGCTTGATTTATTCAGAACTTGAAAGGGAGCCACTATCTCTCTTCAGAGGGACAGGAAGGAGAGGAGGTGGTGAAACTAAGATAAATATTTGAAGGTGAAATTCAGAAAACAAATTAGCTTTTTTTTTTCTACCCCAAATAGACGACCTTACGTAACCCAGAACTCATAGAAGCCAACCAGCAACTCCTTTTTCAGTTTTAATGGAATGAAATTGTAGGGGAAAAAAAAACAAAAAAAACAACACGTAAAACAAAACTCCAGTTCAGTCACTCCACCACATTCAGTTGCTGGATCAGTGCTGCTGATAAAATATTTGCTAAGCTGATAAATATTTAATGAAAAAAGCCAAATGGCTTACATAGATCCCCCCAAAAAAGGTGGGAGGTGTGCGTTTGATATTCTATAGGACAAAAAAAAAAGAAAAAAAAAAAGAAACAGATCCCGTCTATGAGAACAAATGCTGGATTATGGCTTGTTTGGGTGTAGACCTGATGCCTGCTGGGGCCCCTGAGCTGTGGTACTAATGAGCAGGCTCGGAGCATGTTGAGTGGAGGCCAGCCGCACATGGTAGATTATACAGAGGTGACCAGGCTCTGAGAAACGACCCCGTCCAACCATTAGGGACATCCCACAGCTGGGTGTCTTCAATGCAGCCCAAACAGACTGATTGGATATGCTGTTGTCGTGAGACAAAGGGCTCTGAAATCTTTATTGCGCTGTGATTTAAGGGATTAGTTAACAAGAAATATTTACAATATATGCTGAAACCGCTTTTAAGATAACTGAACACATTCATGAAACAGAAGCTCAAGTCTTTCCTGTCAAGAGGGACATAAAAAGCTCTCGGGTGTCAAGGTTGAGCTGACGTAGACCTGGAAATGACAGAGAACGAGCTGAGAAGGCCTAATAGGTCTGGAGCATTTAAGCTGTGTGTTGAGGAACGGGCCTGCAAATTTCCCTCAAGAGGAACAGGCGATATTTCTGAAGATCTAGCCCTATTACGGACACTTTCCTAGGGCAAGTGACAGTACTGAAGTGGTGGGCTTTGATTCAGAGAAGAAAAAGTGTAATAATTCAGTAGTGTTCCTCGTATGAACTCATACAGAATGACAGGACAGGATCAGGTAAGCTTCCTGGCTACATTTAAAGCATATCCGCCACCAGGCACACTCCATCTACTCCATCGTGCTGGGTTGAGATAACGGCCGATGCCTCCAACAACACCAGCTAGTCATTTACGTCCATGTGAAGAAGTTTCTTGTTCTCTTTGCATCAGAGAAGGTGTCCATAGCAACACCTTGGAAAAGAGACAAAGACAAAAAGTCCTGATCTTTGATAAGAGCAACGCTGCAGACAGCAGCATCGCTGTGATTGGGGGCAGAGTGGAGGTGTGATTCCGCATGACAAGGGGTGACAACACTGGCGTGTGCACCAGCTTCTCCTGCAAGCCGCCAGGCTCCTCTCCCCTGGTCCTCCGCTTGCTTCCCAATTACCACAGCCTCCTTCCCAGCTCCTGTCGACAAACTAGCATGCTGCTAAGACTAACGCGCCGCTAAGAAGCAGGTGGCACCGAGAGAGAAGAAAAGAAAAAGGTGCGGAGAGGGCACAGGGAGGTAAACATGAGATAATAATAATCCATCCCTGTAGCACACATGGGGAAGAAAGAGAGGAAGTGGCACGGGATGAGAAGTATAGAAGTATCTATCAAAGCCAGGGTATGAGAGATAGCTCGGAGAGGGCACAGAAATGAGACCGCAGAGTGCTGAGCAGAAAAAAAAAAGAAAACTGACAAAGAGAAAGTAAGGGAAGGGGGGAAGAAAAAAAAAGTGAGAAGTCTGAGGCCAAAAGGAACTGCAGTGGCTAGCACCACAGGCCAAGACAGGATCAGCTCTTGTTAGCATACCACTGACAGCATGATGAGAAGGCTGCTGTCAGGACTGGGGGCCGGCCGAGGGGGGTCTCGCGGATGAAACGCGCGAGGGGCCTCCCAGTTGACTAGTTAGAGGGTGCCTGATGCAGCACAATTATACTGGCATATGACAAGGCTGCACGGGCGGCTGCACTCACGAGCCAGGCGACACGGCTTTAAAACAGTGGTACTCCTTACCTCCGGTCACGAAACAGCGATAAGTCAACTGATGCATTGTTGTAAGATCATGATTTATTCCTTTGCTTTCCAACACAGGCGAGGCTGCACCCATGTTCTGCTAGACTGACACAGCAGGTACACCGGGGGCCCAAACACAGAGGGCCGGCCTGAAGCATACATAATGTATGCCTCGCTCTCACCTTCTCGCCTTCTCTCTTTATTTATCCTCCTAGCTCACCGCAAGGACAGCAAGACCAAATCCAAGCCTGACCACACCCTCCTACCGTCGCGTCTTCTCCTGATTATGCCAGGGATTAAAGAAATTATGGTAATATTTTACTTAATTCTGTGTTTCCCAACCTGGTCCTCAGGGCCCCCCAGATGATCCACATTCTTCCTTCATCCCTATGTGTTGTTTGTTAGGTTGGAGCAAAAATGTGGAATGTCTGGAGGGCCCTGAGGATCGGGGCTGGGAAACGATGCTTTATTTTAATTCACTATAGATCCTCACTTTTGAGTGACAGTCAATATAAATGAATATATATTAAAGTCAACTTAACATTTTCTCTGTCCCCGTCACTTACTTTAACCCTAATTTTAATCTGAAGCCAAAACCTAACACTGGTACTAACCCTAATCCTAAAGCTGTTGAAAATTCACAAGTTGTGTTAAAAGGCCATTCCGGCCATTTCATGTTAATTGGTATGCTATGTAATATTCCGTAGTGCAGCACTGCATGCCTCAGACAATTATGTACCCTTTTTCTTTTTTCATACATCAATGAAACTACAATACCCAGAATGCACTGCACAAATATGGCATGCCACCATTGAGAACATCCCAATGGCAATAAAGAAATCCTGACTGCTAGCGTAGCCGCTGATGTAGAGGCTAATTGGCTTCCTTCTAGCCAGCTAGTGGGGAAAAAAAATTCAAACAGTCTGTATTGAAGTATCTGCCCCAAAACCCTTGTAGTCTTGCAAAAGTTCCTCTCACCTTCAAGATACATCATCAGAAGGGGGGGGGGGTTGGTCTTTAAACCAGAACATCTCACTTTAGACACTGCTACTGAACCACTGTGGTGTAAGAGTAGGTATGTTTACAACTTGTGCAGTACAGATTACATTTTTAATTTGGGCAAGAGGGCTACTTTAACTAGTGTAGCATTTGTAGATCACTGGAATAGGCATGTTAACAATTTTTTGCTACTTGAATACCACATTTTTAAACAAATAGTATTTGAGTATCCCAAAGAAAACATTTTATGAATAAAACAGAAAATTAAACATCCATTTATAGCATGCAGCTATGACAGATGATCCAACTGATTGTTCTGCTGATTTAGTGATTTTTTTTAGGCCTCAGCAAATGTAACATATTTCTAGCTGGCCTACAAAAAATAAACTACATTACCCAGTACAAACTTTTCTTCTTTTATAAATCCACTTAGATGTCACAGTTTATTAATGTGCTTAATGTGCTGCTGTCCCATAGTTCTCTGTGATTCTATGTCGCATACTCAAAAAAATTACAAAACAAACAATTTATTTGTCTGTTTTATACCAAACTATGCCTAATTTGAACTTCCAAACAATACATTTATAAATGAATAAATACTAGGATTAGTTTAGATATCCACACATTTGAATAACTAATGCCTCGTAGATTAGCTACAGTGACAGAAATTATGATAAAGCTAATCACACGTTGGCACATACTCATTTGCTGTTCACCCTCTGCTTGTGTGCTCAACCATCGAGGGTGAGCTAACGAAGAACGACTGATGGGTTTAAAATCTAGAAAGATGAAAGGCTTAAGCGAAGGGGAACCCAAATAACACCAGACTTCATACTAAGTCTGCTGGCATATTAGTTTCATAAACTGGAGGTCGGCTGCCTCCTCGTTCTGCAAAACAGTAAATCACATTAAAAAAGGTTGTTGGGGGGGTGGGCTCTTTACTCAAGAGGCTAATGATTTACACATTCTACACCCCCCGTGTCAGTGAGCACGCGGAATGATGGCGGCGGGACGGAGGAGTGAAATACTCCGCAGATTGGGTCATCCTGATGGAGGCCACTGGTTCCGGCGCTTTGGGCAGGCGCGCTTTCTCTCCTGCTACAGATAACTCCACAGAATGCAGAGATATCACTGGCCTGACATCACTTGCTCCTTTTCCGTGAACCGTGCTGAAGGTTTGGGCTGCGGCCCACCCCCTCCCTCGCCCCCCCTGCACCCCTTCCCCACATGATAAGCTGCTACTCCCTTTCCGAGGGAAGAGGAGCTGGACAGAAACTATGTGAAAGAGTTGGAACTGTAATAAGCGATAATATAAGCCAGTTGGACACTATAGCAGAATAGTATGAAGACGAGCAATGAGTCTGCAAGTATATGCAATATGAGGTCTGATCATGTACTTTTCTTATAATGTTAGAAAAACACAGTATAAAAAAGATGATAACAGAATAGACAAGTCCTCCTAGTTACATAATGAATATAATGATTTATATTGGAATGAGGTGGCCTTGAAATGCCTCTTGTATTTTGTTAAATAATTTCTCAATTATTCAGAACAAATACAAAACAAATGAAATACAGAAATTTTGTTAAAAGTGCAGATTCACATCTTTCGATCATTATCACACTTTCATTTCTAAGTAGAAGTAGAGTAGAGGAGATATTTTAATTCTGATTTGAATTTGAGTAAGTAATGCCATAGGTACAGTCTTGTTTTGTGAGAATTTTTTTATCTTTTTTATGGTTTTAATCTATTCTAGACATTTAAACAAACGCCCACATGTTAAGTCCAGCAAATAAACAGCAAGTGTGCTGAAGTGTGCTCTCTATAAGGATGTGTAACTTATTCTCACTTTTAAATAATCAACATGTAATTTTATCAAGGGGCTACCAAACTTGTTAACATGACTGTACATATCAATCATTACATGATGTGAATCAAAATGTATAGCAAAACAACAACTTTGTACATGTAGGTGTTACTGTAACTCTACAGAACTAAGCAACATGAATAATTTGATTCAGAAAAACACGCAAGTGAACACTTGAGAAAACATCACTTCAGGAAGTGGTGGGAACAGTGAGAGGGTGAGGAAAGTGGAAGAGGTACTCACAGTGCTAAGCTTGCTCGAGGTAATGATGATGCGACGCTCATGCAGCATGCTGGCATAAAGTTGCAGCATGTTATTCACGTCCACCGCCACAAAGTACTCTGTCAGATTTCTCTGATGGGGAGAAAAATACAAGTGCACTTTATTAAAAAATGCATTTTTATTCACTCTCTCAAGCATGTATTTTAAACAATACTGACCAATATCTCCATTTTAAAGATATTCAGAATCATTAGTTGGCAGTTATCAGGGGAACATATCTTAATGTTTATGCTTCTTATAAAGTCTGCACTCATTATAATTAAAGGGGAATTCTTTCAGTTGGTCCCACTTTCTACATAATTCAGTCACTGAGATGTAAACAAAGTCATTCTGAGTGGTCTGATATGAAATGGTGCATCGTAGATAAACCTAGAGAGTCAGGATTCTTTACAGTGGTGGTGATAGGAACCAGGGGTCATGATGTCTACATATGTCTTCTGAGATTTTATATGAAATGCTGGTGATGGCAAAATATGTATTCTGTCAGGATTGTTTTGCCTTACAACACCCTGCTTGTGCCTCTCCACCATGAATGGATTAAAAAAAAAAAAAAGTTTTAGTTTTCTCCCAAAAAGATCATAAAACAATGTTTTAGGCTTCAGGTTTAATATTCTTACCCATTTAATGTAATACTTTCTGTGATGAAGCTTTTAGTGCCATTAAAGACTTCTGACGTCTGGTTCCTATAACCAACAGTGTGGGGAAAAAAAAAGACTCTTTCTCTAAAACTGCACATTTTACAACAAACCACTCTAAATGACTTTGTTAATGATTGAGCTGTTTTGATTTCTGGATAAGTAAATGGCTTGGATGTAAACAAAGCCATCCAGAGTGGCTGGATGTGAAATGCTTCATTCCAGGCAAACTCACAGAGTCAGAATTGTTCACAGTGGTGGTGATAATAACCAGACGTCTAAAGAGGTTAAAGCCTTTAAAACATCCATTACAGAAATGTATTACATGAAATGGTTATGAATACACCGCCTGATGACTAAGACACTGTTTTATGATAGTTTTGCGATGATGTTTTAGCCTAAAATGTATCTTTTTTTTTTAAATATTATAACATTGGAGAGGTAAACGCAGGATGTTGAAAGGCAAAACAGGCCCAAAGAAAATGTACTTTCGATTTCTCACTTTTTTACCATTATCAAAATCACATGTAAAAAATCAGCAGACGTGTAGAGTAACTGGTCATTTTGGATAGTAAATAAAATGACTATATTTTAGTTGCAAACATCACAACCCCTGCTTCGTATCACCATGACTGTGAAGAAATCTGACAAAGTTTCTCTACTATGAAGCATTTCACCTCAACAACTGAATTCTGAATTTTAAAAATAATTGCCAGAATTCCCTTTAAGGAGGTTAAAACGGTTGTACTAGCAGAGGGAAAAACTGAGGCGCTTTACAGATTAGAAAAGTAGATTTCCTGACTTAAGGGAACAATGTACTCACACTTTCAGGTATGGTGGGGAGTCCATTAATATCTGGGGCTATGAAGTATGAATGCTAGGGGAAGACAAATGAAGCAGAAAGAAAATGGTCAGAACGTTCAAGAAGACAAGAAACATTCCTCTGTCATCACCCACTCCTCCTCTTCCTCACTGTGCATTTCAATGACTGAACGATCCGAGCAGCGGCAAAAAGTTTCTAATCATACACACCACACAGCATATCTAGAGTCAACACCAGGATGGATCCCCTGTGGACACTGCTGGCAGGGGTGAAGGGGGAGAAAGTCTTTATTAAGGCACAGAAAGCCAACTGCTCTGTTCCGACAGGATCAGAGGGGTCCGCCCGGCGCACGTTTTAGCGAGCCGAGCAGGTTTAATGTCTGGATCAAAGAGGCTCCGGAGCAAGAGATCCTCACACTGCACGCTAACTTTAGAGCTTTTGTTTGCCTGTGTGGTGTTCCTCCCTCTCTCTCTCTCTCTACCTCCCCAGGCTAGGCCGTGCCTCATTGTGTGTGAAGAGTGCCCATCTGTTGCTGAGAGCTCGGGTTCAACTCTCTCCTGCCTCTGCATATGTTCTACAAACAAAAGCAAGTTTAACTCGTGTAATGTGTAAAAAAAAAAACAATAAAAAAAACAAAACAAAACAAAAAAAAACACAAAAACAAAAACGCTTGTTTTATGCTCAGCAAATCTTAATTGTCACAAAAAAGACAGGAAAAAAAGAAAGTGACTTGATATCAAATTAAAAAAAGATTCTCTTAAAAATAATGTGTGTGTGTGTGTGTGTGTGTGTATATATATATATACATAAATAAATAACTACATACATATATAAATATATATATACACACATGAACATATCAAAACACATACACACACACATAGGAGCAGCAGAAAATATTGTCAACTTTCAATGTGAGTTACTGTAACAAGTCATTCTGGAGCATTTCTATTGGTCCATTCCCCATGACCTTTTAAGAAATAAATAAATTTGTTAAAAAAAAATAATAAATAAAAACAAAAAAGGAGATACAAGGCTTTGTTCAGACAGTGATCATATATTTACAAACATATACCAGGAATGTATATACTGCTACATATTGTGATTGAGATTGTGAACCTATGCTAATGTGAATCACCAGGTAAAATGACAAATTCTTAACTCAATCTTTTTTGGCACATTTTCCTTATTTGACCCTTCGAACCATCCAGAGTAGTCCCAGGCTGAGGCCCAGGTACAGCACGCTGTATGTTCTTATGATAGAATCGACCATTGTAGCCCTCTTGTTATTTTAAAGCGACACATTCAGCCCAACAGACTACGCTGGACAGTGTTCAATGGGAGACTTCTGGATAAATGAATGACTTAATATCACATATATTCATTATGCAGCCCTCGCGTGCGTGTGTGTGTGTGTGTGTGTGTATTTAGATATGAGACTATGGGATTACAAATGGAGGGGGTCCATAAAAATGTTTTTTGGCTGCCTCAAACAGAAAAAAGGAGCCAAAAATAGCATGTAGAGCCTCTGAAATGGTCCCCATCAATGTGCAGGCACATGTGTGTTTATTTTCCCACACAGAGCTTCTGATTGGCCTCTGTGTCGTGGGCTGCAGTTCCAGCTGGCGGTGGCCGGCGCTCTGTAGCCATGTTTATAAAAATCACACATTATCAGAGCGCTTGTTATCACTGTGCTCTGCCTGTCTGCCTGCCTGCTGCTCTCCCTGGTGTGAGAAGGATCCTAGATAGACCCCCCCAACAACCACACACCCCCCACCCCCCCACACACACACATACACAACCAGCACTGCGTTCTACATTACTGAACAGACAGTAGCACTGGCAAAAACCACAGCCCTCACTGCAAATCTCCAAACCCAATCACCCTTTTCATGATTTTGCCATTCCCCACCTTTCCCAGCATTGGAAACCTGGAGAAGGACGCAGATAGGTGAACCCACCACCTGGTGAGAAGGCGCTCAAGACTTAAAAGCAAAGGCGACTCTAAGAAATCCCCTTTGATGACTGGACCAGGCTTTTCTGCAGCCACATCCAGGCTGAATCTCTGCTTAGCGATGGCGTAAGATAGCAGGCTTATCAACTACACTTTCAGCTTCAGCAGCCGAGGACAAATCCAGCAGTCTGAATGAAGCTGTTATGAATCTGTTTGAAAAAATGATTGACTATCTCAGCTTCCTCGCCTTGTCATTTCATGGTTAATACCAAAACAAGTGTTTGTACACAATTCCTACACTCATGAAAATAAAGGTTTCTAAACAGTTCTTGGCTTGGATATACTGTTCTAGGAAAAACCTCTTGGTACAGAGCCTTTACATTATGCTGAGGTTCTTTAAACATAAAAAACAAAGATTCACTCAAATCTCATTTTCAAATCTAGTTATTTAAAGAGGCATCCATTGAAAAGGGAACTAATTTTCTAAATGAGATGTTCCAGTATGAAGAACATTTTATTTATTTTTTTCTTCTACATGCTGTAAAGGTTGCAGGAAGAGCCCTTAGATTTTTAAACCTTTAAAAGACTTAAATCTTAAAAGAGATGCATAGAGAACCACCCTTGCTTCCCTAAAAATCTTTGAATGGATGGTTAGAAATTAATTTTTCTAAATGAGACATCCCAGCATGAAGAACCTTTTTATTGTCTTTTTTTAAAAGTTTAACCTCCATGTACTGTAAAGGTTTTAAGAAGAACCCTTATATCTTTAAACCTTTAAAAGTCAAGTCAAGACACAGTTTATTTATATAGCGCTTTTTACAACAGGCGTCACAAAGCAGCTTTACAGAAAGGTGTCATTAAATCTTGAAATCTTTAAGAGGTGACATAGGAAAACCAATTTTGGTTCCCTAAAAACCTTTGAAAGGATTTTAAGAGAATAATTTTTGTAAATGAGATGCGTCAGTGTGAAGAACCTTTTTTTTTGAAAGTTAAAGGAACCCCCATACACTGTAAACGTTTCAGAACAAAACCCTTAAATCTTTAAAGCTTTAAAAAGTTTCTTCACTCTTCACACTTACTTATGTTTTTCAAACCAAAACATTTATATTTTATATACATACATATACACACACATATATATATACACATATATTCGTGAAATTTGAGCTCAAGTTATGCAGAAAACAAATATATATATATATATATATATATATATATATACACACACACACACACACACACGTGTATGTATGTATGTATGTTAATATAAAAAACACATACACACTTTTTGACACCTCATTTGTAAGAATGAGATTATCTTTCATCTAACTGCCTAAAAAAGGACCCGATATAAGTTACTGAGTTACATTTTTTGGGGGAACCTTACACGATGCTGCTGCCTCTTAAGCAGATATTTAAGCGCTCAAAATTGTGGCTTGCTTACATTTTTCTGAGCAATGTTTATATAAAACCATGAAATATGGGTTAACAGGAAAAGCATCAAGGAGATTTCTTGAGCACAACTGCCTTTTGCTTTTAACGCTAAACTAAAGAACCGCTTTGATATTAAGAAAGAGAATACAGCAGCATGGAAGAACATTAATCATTTAGGAAGTTTGATTGTTTTCCAGAAAAGAAGAAACAGACACCAACACCCCAGACGGTTTGTTTTTTTGCCATATTTAAAAGGGACAGCGCTGGATTCTTTGGCAAAACTGGAAAGCTTCGTCTTCCATGCAATTAGCACCGCAGCTTCGGATTCAGGAGCCCATTCTCTCTCATTCTCTCATGCACCCACACTTGCTCACTTTCCACTCACCGGCTTTTGGCTTCCTGGATCGTTCACAACTTGCCCACTGGCAATATGCAAACACTTGTTCTTGCACATTGAGAAGAAAGAGTAAAACGGGGTTCACACTCAGAATGAGATATCAGCCTTTTTACACTGCAATCACTCACTTTAGACACACTGCTGCACCAATCACATGTCAAACTTTGTTTCAGGTAACAGCTCTTGCTTTAGCATCACCTCCTGGTATAATTTGTTTCCTTTGTTAAGTTGGGGAAACGTCAGAAAAATGCCCATTTTAATGACACTTAATTGCACCTTTTTAACAATGAATTGTTGCTGATTCATAGCTGCACGAGTCTGATAAAGTAAGGTCCTTGTTAAAAAGGCAGCCTAATTGGTTCACAGTGCAACTGAGCCACTAATATACAGTACTGTGCAAAAAACAGAGACCCAGTCATAAACACCGAAAAAAAGTTGAACATTTTTCAGCGTCAGAAAACAAAAGCAGAAAATGCATACTTGACAGAAAATTACAGTTTCAAAAAGTATTCATTTTCATTACAGCTGCCAATCTTTTCAGAAGACTTGCTTTCAGTTTTTCAAAGAAATCCACAGGAACATCTTTAGAAGAAGGTTTAGTTTTTCTGCTTCTCATGATCCAAGTATTCCCATACACATTCAATGATGCTGAATTCAAGAGGTCGTCTTCTTTGTCAGTAACGTTTTCTTGACAACTACACTCCTTTTCAGACACCCATGGATTTCTCCAGATCTGAAGCAAGAGTGGATTTTCTCCAATTTACTGTGTATCTGACGGTGACAGCTTTGGTGGTCCACCAGGTCTTGCATGGTTGTTAGGAGTTCCATTTTCTCTACATATTCTATTTTAATATTTCTTACAATTTTGTAAACTTCAGTTTTTTGCTTATTTGCTTATCTGATTTTGCAAGTAGATTATCTTACATGTAATGCCCTCAAAATGAATAACATAACTGAAGAGCTTAGTTACTGTTTTTTCCTAGAAACTTGATAAATAAAGCAAGGGTGGTCTCTGATTTTTGCATAGTACTGTAAATACATTTAAAACTGGTTTGGGGGGGTTGTAAAACTGTGCTTATGTGCTTCAATTGTAAACACAGGGAAGACTATGCAAGATATATAAACCTACTACATGTTAATATAAAACAAACGGAAAAAGCTTTTGGAATAAATGTGTAAATGCACTACAATCTACAAAATATAAGAAAAATAAAATGAAAACGAAGATATTCATTTTTAAATATGAAAGTAAATCTTCAAAGCTTATATAAACCTTACCAAAAGTCTTGAATGTAAACTATGATTCAGTTCAAGAAGCCATGATACTGTGGTTACTAACGCAAATATGTTTCTGTTCAAATTGAAACAGCATCAGAATATATTCAATGCAACTGCTCTGCCAAAGTGTATGTAAACACTGCAGGTCAGCAAAACATTGCCATATTTGAATTATTTGCACAGCAACAGGTCTCTATAAAAAGTAAAGCTCCTAATAGTTAGTAATACTTTCAGACAGAATGTCAAACTTGATAAATATAAACTTGTGGCACTGACAGATGGCTCTTGAAGAGTGCTTGAAGTTGGATCTGATGGTTTATGGAAAAGTTGCAATTACGGTTAAGGGTATCCAGGAGAAGCAGCCATGGACAAAACTATATTTTTAAGCTCTGGTACCTACCACACTCAGATTCACCGGCGTGTTGGGCTTGGGCACGGCCAGAGCGTGCAGGGTTTCCAGCATGTCGTTCAGATCGTTTTCCTGCAAGAGACAGAAGACACAAAGAAAACATACAAGTTATGGTGAACGCCTGGCAATTGGTGACCAATTTGGAGCAGCAAGGCCAAAGGGGGAGGAAAAACATCCGACTGACACTCATTTAACAAGCAATCCTGAGGTTAAGAGACGGTAAGTTAGGCCGCGGCAGACTCTTATTATTCCGGCCATGATTTATGGCCAACATCGGCTGTTCGTAATTAACCGTAGGCCCTCACTCAGGGAACGCGACTTTAAGAAGGCACTGGAGAAAAGCTTCAGCCACAAAACAGGCCCCAGGATTATAACGCTGGCCTTTTACGAGCTCTTCTGACGAGGGCAAAATTTACTCTGTCTAACTCCACAAACTGTAGAATTCTGCTGCTGCAAAGAAATACGGCTGGACAAAACAAGAGGTGCGCTTTGTTTGCAGTAAATTATTTAAGGCTCTTCCTGATCAGTTGTTTGTGAGGACTGTTTGCTGGGTGTGTATTTGTGTGCGTGTGTGCATCAGTGTAGCTCAGGCTGCTGTCACGATAGGCCGGATGCTCACACGCATGGTCAGTAACACAGCCCGGGGAAGCACTTCATTTCCCCTCGCCTTAAACCGTCATCGCTCTTGTCCTCCCTCGTCAGTCAACCTCGGCTTCACGCGCCACGCCATGCTACATACAAACGCACCCCCGCGCACACACTCACCACACACTGCCTGTCATTTAGCACACTGCGCAGGCTTCTTACTTTGCTGCAAACTAAATTCTTTCATTCAGTGTAACAACTTCCCATATCCTGTATTGTTTATTATGGGATATAATAAAAAATAAAATAATAATAGTGTAGAAAAACAGGAGTAATAAATAATAATAAAAAATGAAAGGTCAGAAAAAAAATTATACAAGAAAATAATAAGTCGTTAATGTTTTGGTGAACAAAGCAGCATACAAACAAACAGACTGATGATGTGGCTATGTATACTATGTATTAATATAATAAATGTAAAAATAATAAGTGCAGTTGATGTTCATTAATAAATAAGTAAATATGTAAATTACTCAATAAATAAGTGATTAAGTGTAATAAATGCAACACATATGAAAACAATAAATGAATAAACTGATCTAGTGTAATAATTGTAATAAATATGAAAACAATAAACAAGTAAATAAGACTGACAGTGACTGATACCCTTTTCTGGAATGAATGAATGTATGAACAAAATTTACGAACGTATAAACAAAAAAATAATCAGATAATTGTTATGAAATGTAATAATCATTTAAAAAATTAAGCACAGTTCACCTTTAGTGTAGTACGTAAGTAATTAAGCAGTAAAGCTGATAAAAAGGCTGATACACATTATGAAACAGAAGTGTATGCAAAAGAAAGACTAATAAAGTGGCTGGTATGTATTACAAAACATAATATACATGAAAATAATACGCAAGAGCAGTTAATCTTTTGTTACATATGCAAGTAAGTAAGCAAATAAGTAAATAAATGAGTGATCAAGTGGCTGATATACTTCATAAAATGTAGAAAGAAAGAATGTGGCTGATATGCGCTATGAAATACATTAAATATAAAAATAAATAAGTGCAGTTAACCTTTTGCTCAATTAATAAATAAACAGATATACTGAGACAGATGAAGAAGTGCTTGCGTTGTGGGTGGCTTGATGATGTGGAGCAGCGTACTGCTGCTTCCCTGCTCTCTGTGCCTCCCAGTGTACTTAGCCTGTGATCTGTTTGTGTTAACTGTGAGGAGGTTTCGTCCCCTTCACTTCTCTCTCCGTAGCTCTGCTAAGCATTGCTGCCTGACAGCCCACTGATACAGCAACTCCAACTTCCTCCATCTCCCTCTGTGCTAAACGCTAACTCTTTAAGACCCTGCTCCCCCCTTCGTCTCCTCATGTAAGCTGCATATTTCAGCCCCATGTTTTCCTTTCCCAAACTCCTTCTCTCTCTCTCTCCCTCTCCCTGTGCAGTTACACTATACTGTGCACTTTTTTGGGGAAAAAAAGAACAACAAAAGGGTTTGGCATGGTGCATTTCCCAGCGATTTGTTTTCCAGTAAATCACTGAGGATTGACTTCCTGTTCGATGTTTGGTCTGTTAAATGTCAACAACACAGCAAAGCGAAACGCGCGAGTGCCAGCTAGCGCTGCCTGACTAACTGGCCCGGATTAGCCGTGCAGCGATGTTTGTCTTTTACTTCTCTTCTTTCTTCACACTTCACCATGTAACAACTGAGTTTGGTTTCCCGGCTGCAGTTTCGTCCCGGCGCTGGATGCAGGGAAGCAGGGTAATTTTCGCATTTGTGACATTAGCAGTTTGCTCAGCAGAGGGCTCTGCGTGCTCTAGCCAGCCACATGAAGCACTGGCATCACAGAGAAAAGTTTTAAAAGCTCTCATTAGCATTTCAGAGTGCCAATGTGAGAAAGTGACCAGAGTGTGGCGCACACTGGGGCTCCAAAGAGAGAAAAAACAGCACCGCTAGAAGTTTTCTTTTCAGAGAACACACCTGAACGACCGCAATGTGTATTTTTGTTGAAGACAACAGTATAAACTTACCTGGTGTTTTGTTAAGTAGTCTGCGAGGGTATTTAGCAGCTTGTAGTAAATCTCAAACCACGGGAGATAGCTGAGGAAAACAGAGAGAGACATTGAATCAGGTATTGTGGAGAAAATGTGATTATAATGAGAAAATGCATAGTAACTAAAGTTCAATACTTAATCAGCACATTTCAACAATAACAACCACAAACAACAGTTCAACAGTACTTTCATTGATTTAAGAAGCCAGCGCCAAGGTGACACAGAAGATGCGAAGAAGTATATATAGTAGTGTGTATATAGTACACATGAACCCAAACATACAGAAGTGTGTGTGTGTACACGTGTGTGTATATATATATATATATATATATATATATATATATATACATATATATGTATATAGCCATATATGTGTGTATATATATATATATATATATATATATATATATATATATATATATATATATATATATACACACACACACACACACAAACACACATATATCTGTGCGTGTGTAAACTGTTGTTAAATTTATATTTAAATTTTTCATTACAAAATATTTCGATTTACAACAGTATTAGACATTTATACACTCCTTATTATACTAAATGCTCTAACAGCACATGTAAGAGTTAAAGTAGCTCACGTCAGATACGAAAACAAGTGACAAGATATTTGTTATCCTAGATAATACTGATGAAATGGAGGTGAGTACAACATGTAAATATCTTACATTTTTGTGTAGCCATGTGTTTTCATCATTAATTTACCACATACAAAGCCAAGTTCATGTTTTATCATGAGTGAAATAACTGTGATAGACTAACAAAATCTCAGTCAGGACTGAGGTTCAGCAAGGCCTACCAGTGTGATATGAAGTTTGTATTTGTGTTGATTTACAGAGAAGACATTAACTTTACTTTGTTTATATGCATTCAGTCAACATCATTTCGTAATGTAAATGTGCTGGATTTAGCCAAATGGCTAATTTACATCTGCAGTCCCGGGGCAGATTGATGTTAATATTAAAAGTAAACAATTTCATTTTCTATAGGATTTTGTATTTTATATGAATAAGCTAAACCCTTTAGCTTTTTTAATGTTCTGATATTTAGCTTATTCTATATAGTCCTACAATATATAGAATGAAGAAGTGGTAGCTGGGGTGAGTCTACTGTGCAGCCTTTAGCTATATGGGCAGGATATGAATTTTTATAGGCAACAATGTTGATCTTTATTAGTTGTTTGACAACTGATTACATATTCCTGTTCTTCATTTTTAGGAATTGTTATATCTATTTACTTACTGTTGTGATGTCAACTAATTTATGTAGAATATCAACATAAAGCAATCTAAAACATTAACATTGTTTAAATACCATTAAAATTTTAAATAATTAATTTTATTTAATATTTAATATCTGTATCAGCCACAAAAAGGTATCATTTATTGGTTATATTAGGCATAGAAATCCCACAGTGGTGCATCTCTAGTTGACATTGTATTCTGCCTGCATTTGAAAAATTTTGTACAGATAAAAAGAGCTTGAATTAAAAAAAAATGCTAAAAGTGTTAATTAAGCTGTAAAAATCTTATTTCTTCTGTGTTCAGTCCAATAAACATTTGGTGTTCAGAGAGTGATAAGTGCTTATTTTGCTGCCACAGTATTGAGCATTGTGATACTGCACTTGGTATTGGTATCGTATAAGGACACCCCTAACACTAGTGACGCTAGACAACAGCTCTGGCCCTTAAAAATAAACTAGATTCGAAAATCAGATTAAAAAAATAAATAACCATCGTCCCAAAAACAAAAACAAACAAACAGCCTGAAATCACTTTCTACCGTTAACAGCGTCTCTCCCTCACCTTGACATTTAACCTAGTGGCTTTGCGTTTCCTCCAGCGTTTTCTGCTACAGTACACCATCCCCTATTATCACATTCTTTGTACTCGCCGGGACCCGCATTTTAAACATTCCAGTCGAGGCTGCACTTTGAGGAGTGGGGAAAAGGAGGGTAAATAAAAGGATTTGGTTTCTTCAACAAAAACATGACTGAGCCACTGTAGCCTGTAATAAACGGGGGATAGGGAGAAAAAGAGGGATGCAATGGTTTACAAGCATGCTGCACCCAGATGCACCAGGCATCATACTTCACCCACTAGATGAGTACCCCCCACCACCAACAGTGTTTTTTTTTTTAATAATAATAATAAAAAAAAAGAATTTTAGCCTAGCCGGGCTCACTGAATTTAAAAAAAGGAAAAAATAATAAATTATACTGTATCTCTGGTTTAACTAATCACACCATACCTCGCCAAGAGATACAGTACCATGTATCTGCAACATCGTGTTTTTTGTTTAGCTTGACAGATTCTTGGCAAAGTTGACAGGATCCTGGAGGTGGAACAGGGCCAACATTTTGTTTTGGCTTAGAGGTTGCAAGAACACACACCATTTATTTTGTTATGCAATCTAATGAAAATCACAGACAGCTAGCTATACTAGGATTGATTTCAACACCACATTTTGACTCAATTTGAAATCTCACACTTAACTGAGGCCGATTACATCACTTTGTACACTGGGCTGCAGAGTCTAATCGTCATAAATGCTTCATTACCTTCATTTGCATCGATGTGGCTAAAAAAGAATGAGAGGTTTTAATTAATGGGTGACAGAAAAGTTGAATAATGTAATGCAGCCTGTTTTTTTTCTCTCTCTTCATAGAACAGGTTCTGTACACTTGATTCCTCACTGAACTACAGCACAGACAGTGGGATGATGAGAGCCGCCCCCCCTCATCTTTGCATGGGTCAGTGAGCGCTCCGGCAGACTGGAATTAACAGACAACAAGAAAAACAATAAAGTGAACGTAATGCAAATTTTCATATTGCTAAATCCGCAGAGGAGGCCAATGACGGGGCCGTTCCCAGGCAAGTGCGCTCAAGCGCGAGAGCGAGAAGTCTGAATGACCATTAACCTGAAACAATCAGCTCTTAACATGCCAATATTTTGACATCCGAAGGAAGATTCTCCTAAACCAGGTCACACGATCTAAATGAAATATGCCTATGCAAAAAAAAAAAACAATAGCCTATATGCTAAGGGTGGGCCATGTAGCATAATATAACACTATGATACTTGACATTGTGTCCACAAAGTGAGAAAAACAGTAGTGCCTCACAAAAAAGGGCTACAAAAAACTACAGTGATTTTGTAATTCAGCATTTGCAAAACTACTTAATCAATCAGTGATTCAATCAGTGAATTAAGATGATGTCATCCAATCAGCTACTTGTATGAAGGTTATACTCTTAGTACACTGATTGCTGTTTACAGGATCTCTGTAGTTGGTCTAAATCTCTGTTACATTACAATAATAATATTATTATATGTGTTCCAGAAGTCTTGATGATACCAATCATCTGCTCCATTATTCACTTTATCTTGATAACAATAACATATCGTCATGCTGACCACCCCTACTTTAAATACGTACAAACAGGCTCCTGCTGCGTTTTGGTCAGCGTGACACATCGTTTAGCATATCGCAATCGACTGACACCTTGAACAAGCCTGTTTGCCTGGCATAACAAAGCCAATCGTTATCTCCCTCGCTCTCTTTGTTTAAAATGCAAGGCTCCTGGATGCTAATCCTCCATTTTTCACTTGTGAAGGGGATTTAAATAGGAGTGCCTGCTGTCAGAGAGGCTCGACAGGCCTCGAAGAACCCAAACACTCATTATACTCCTAAATGAGGGAGCCTGTAAATCTTTTGTTTTAAAGCCAAATAAATTATTGCAGTATGAGCAGCGAACCTTAGCTCATCAAGATATCCAGGGAGGAATACCTCTCACATATTCCCAGCACAATGTTTTATTTCAACGTAATAAACTGAAATTACACCACTTTTTGATACTTGTTTTGTCCCCCCTCAAATAACTTGGAAGAGAGGTAACCCCCCCACCTCAACCAAACCCCTCCAATCTCTTCACGGTTAGTGAGTAAAAATGTGTTTGTATTCGACCAATCCTCCAATAGAGAACATTCGTCATTCTGAACTGCGCTGGGGCGAAGCAATCTTGCCGGCACCTTTAAACTCTCAGCTACAAAGTGGTACGGCCACTCGCAAAGTAAACCAGCTAATCTGCGGCCCACTCGCAACTCCTCACCTGCGTTAGCCCCGGACCGTTAACTACATCTACAGCCTGGCAAACTGGCCTACGATGATGGAAAAAAGGGCACTTTAGGCAACATAAATAAGACATATATTGTGACAAACAATTGTATCTTTGTTGGAGAAGGGGAAATGTGCAGGGCAGCTGCTGTTTTCAATGAAAAAAAATTAAAAATCTAAAAAACACAACATTACAAAGTTTTGATATGAAAGTGCCTGTAAAACGGTAAATATTTAAATTTGGATTTGCTAAATTAGCTGATCCAGCCTTCATAACTATTACATAAAAGCTTGTCTTACTACAAAATACAGTGCCTACGTGACGGCTTAAATACATGTATTATATATTGCACATACACGTAAAAGACATGCGAACGTGGACCTTTGGGTCTCCATTCATTAGATATAATATATATCACAGAACTTAAATTAAACTGCTCTGGTGCATTACTTAAGACAGCTTGCACCTTGTAAGCAGCTTAGACTGTGATATGATTACAGCTTGTCTATTTCCCCCCATGTTAAAGGTTAAGCAAAGAAAATGAATTATTCTCTGTCCGAGCTGCTAAGTGACCAGTAACAGTAGAAAGCCTCTACATCACGATAGCGAGTCGTAAGTCTGAGCCATCGAATAAAGCAGGCCTTTTCCACTTTGGGCCTCTGAGACGTGCGAAGGCTACGGCTCACTCTGCTCCAGAGTGACTAAGGGGCGAGTACAGGGAGTGTAAAAAGGATTCCTTCTGCTTTTAAAAGCGCTTTGGCCTAAAGGAACCCTGCCCTTTTGGCCTGGAATCCAGACACTCAGCTACAAAGGCCTGACCACATAAAACTGTCCTTCTCATTAGGCTACTTCCTCGTGTAAGCATAGGTGACAATTTTATGGTCCCACCACCTCAACTATCGCGTGGACACAAACTGTTTTAATTACTTTGTTTTATATTCAAGCGCAGAGCTGGAGCAGAGGAGCATGAAGAAGTATCTTCTTGAAGAAAAGCGATTCACTGAGCTTTCGCGTATTTTTTTCCTTTTCTAGTTTTGAACACAACTGTTTTTAATATTTAATTAAACTTAATCAAGAACGTAACAATATTGAAATATTTATTTAAAAAAGAAAAATTCCCTTTGCTAAATTTCTCACAGCAGCACACTATTTTTTTTATTTCTAATAAACAAACTAAACACAAAATTATAAATAAGCGTTTTCTAAATTTTTCAGTTCTCCCTCTCAATGCAAACAAAGAACTCTGAGACCTTTATTTAAAAAAAAAAGCCTGAAACTTTCAGTGCATTTCTTATTATGAATGAAGTAAGCCATGCAAACTACTCAGAATGCATAATGAATTTTATACATCATATGTCAAATGAATTAGCATGTAAAACTCAGTGAGAAGGACAGGGGAGACTTCTGCTAATTGGCAGTGAGGCTTCATGCATAATTATCGGCGAAGCGTCTCTGGCATGCTTCTGTGCCAGTAGCCGAATAACGAGTGGAAAGAAAGAAAGAAAGAAAAAAAAAACAAAAAAAACAAAGGCCATCCAGACCGGGGTGGGAGGAGGAAAGATCTCGACAGCAGCTCATCAAGTCTATGATGAACCTGCAATTGTCCATCAATATCACGCAAACATTTTAGTAGAATAAAATGAGAAGAAACCTTGCTGTGAATTTCTAATTGTGTAAATGCCTTTTTTGTAGCTTTGTATTCTCCTGCTTAGCTTCTACTTTGTAGAATAATTTGGAATAATTTAGCATTTTGTTTTATTTTCTCAGTTGTCATATTCACGTGAAAAACAAAAGCGCAGTCTTTTGTCAGCACTGATCATTAATGAAATTTGAATTGCCTCAGAATATAACATTTTTGCCCTCATGCATGACTGGAAACCAAATAAATAATTCTGAAAAACCACCACTGAAAATCTCTGAAAATTCTACACTTAAAAGTTCAGCAGCAATATCCAACATTGAGCTGCATTTTTCAGAAAAAAAAGTTTCATTCAAATTAATACCAAGCTTCTCACTGATTTACAGATATTTAATCTTCCAAGATGCACCTTTCATTTTGAAAAATAACCTGTTTGCTTGGGTAACAACAAAAAAAAGAAAGAACAAGAAAGAAAAAGAAAAAAAAAAAAGCCTCTACAGTAGCACCGCAGGAGTTTAGAGAGAGTGAGAAAGAAGTGCCGTTACTCACCTGAGCAAACAGATGCACACCTTGCAGCCGGAGGTCAGGCGGCAGAAGCCGAACCTCTGCTTGCTGTCGATGTCGGTGAGAACGAACGTGAAGTTCTGGCCCACCTGATTCTGGGACACTCTGCAACGAGCACAGAGAAGTGAGCTCACGAGCGTGCTTCAAAAACGGCCCAGCGCACTGTATGAGCTAATGAGACATCCAGCTCAGGAGTGACTTTAGAACATGTTGACTCATATTTTAAACTAATTGCAAGAAACTCAAAGGGTGGGGGGGGGGTGTTCAGTCTAAGCGTTTATTAACCTTTGCTCAGTTATGCGCCATCAGAGGATTCAATTTTTCATTTTAAAAAAATGGAGAAAAGAAACAGCAGCATTTTTTAAAACTACAAGTGTAGGTTATTTGAACAGGCCTGCTGATCTACAGACAAAACAGCTTTGTGTGGTGACGTAGTAGCTTCCAGCTGATTTTGCCATTATGTGCATTATATGCATTATGTGAATTACTGGACAGGTCTGTTTGCCCATGGCTTAGTGCAAGGTCCATTATGTATATGTGTAGAAGTGAAGGAGGGAAAACTGCTTCTCTGTGAAAAGAAAAGATACTATAGTTCAAATGGCTGAATTAAACTGTGGCTGAGCAGCTGAATCAGTGTGTGCGTTGACACTAGATGGCAGCAGTTAAGCTTCAGCAGAAAGGCATTTCCCCACCCCCACTACCTATAAACTATACAAAAGCACTGTTCACATTTTTATTTCCACCAGCAAGTCTACTCTACACTCCGCTGCTGTGAGAATCGGGCCCCCACTACGTCCCCAAGGACCCAATAGTGACATGCAAACATACAATCTTATTTACAGAGGTGAGGGCCTCTGTAGGTTTTTGGTTAGTTTCAATATATGGGTTTTAGAGTAGGGTCAGGTGATTAAGGAGGGGAAAAGGGGTGCATGGCACTTCCCGTTATTCATTTACCCACCGTGTATACATGCAGGTGTGTACTGTGCGTTATCCGTGGGTGTTTATACACTGTTTTTGCATATTTAAAGAAAAAAAAACATAAGTGCTGGCGGTTAGAGGGACAATGAGAAAGAATTCCTACCTTTCCACGTCAAAGGGGAAACAGAACTTGGGCACAGTTTGTAGGACCTCCTAAAAGAAAAGGAGAACACATCAAAATTAAATCTGAAAAAGGTAGCACGATATGGACAAAATGCTAGTGTTGTGATTCTATTGCAACATACTGCAACAGACCTTGCAATTAGAGATGGACAATAATATCTGAATCATGTCAGTATCAGCAGATACCTACTATAAATGCTTTTATTAGGTCAATATTTTAATGATGTATTTATAGTACAGAAACAAAGTTAATGCAGGGCTACTGCGCAAAAATATCTGCATTTGATTAATTTTTCTGCGTTTGTAACCGAACAGAAATAAATATTCTATTCCTCTGCAATGCTAATCCAGCTGGATTTAGTCTCAATTTCTACATTTTTTAAAAAGTTTATGAATAAGCATCACCGGATGTATCCATAAAAACTATCTGATACAGGAGAATTTCCATATTGATGCATTCCCTATTTGCAATACACAACACATTAACAACACAGACGAAGACTGGCCTGCATTAGACTGACCAACATCATTTACTTTTGATGGATTGCATGAATACTCTAATTCATCACTAAAACCCCTCCTCTGGAATTACTGATCGGTCACTAAACTCACTGCACACACTAAAAACACTGAAACTGGTTAGCGAGTTCATCTGCATATTGTAACCTCTTGCCACTAAAAGACTACTAGGCCTAATTCATGATCATGACTGATAAACGATTAGCAGTTTAACGATTCACAAAATTCATTATTCAATTCATGCATAGATTTTTTGACAAAGCAAAAACAGAAGAGCTGAAAATGTGCCTTATGTTAATAACAATGTTTCCATATTCGGTTTATTAGAGCTTCCAACATTATCAAAAAAGTACAATATTTAACACAAAAGCTGTGTTAGCCACAAGCTAATATGTAAGTCCCAAGCTAACATACTAGCCACAAGCTATCACAATACAATGATATGAAATACTGCGATACAGTTCGATACAATACAACATGCCGTATGGTTCCATCCCTGCAACCGATATATTGAGCAGCTCTATTAGGTCTGATGACACAGCTAGAATCAGGAAAGCCTTTTGGCTCAAAGTCTCATTGAACACCGAATCTAAACAATGAGTAAATATCCCAATGAGATGTTACGACACACCGCTTTCTGTGTGTTAGTACAAATAAGCTGTTTGCCAAAGAAGGCAATTGAACGAGTTAATGAAATAAATCAGTCGACATGTGCAGCACTTAAGCTCGACGGTGACTGAGCTAGCAGAGGGGGGTTATCAGTAGCTTAAATAATTAGCTACCATTAACTTCATCCACTGGCAAGGTGGAGCAGAGGAGGGGGGTGCAGGAGGGGGGCTGAAGGTGCTGCCAGATTGCCGGGACAATGGCTGAGCGGCAGCGGGGATTGGAGAAGTTTGTGGAGGGGAGAGAGGGGAAGCGGCCTTAAGGGTTTTACCTCCCCACACAGCCCCACAGGGAGAGGCCCTGCACCAGCAGCATATGGATTTCCACAGCCTGCCCAGCGCCATATGGGTTAGCCACGTCTGGCCGGACCTGCACCACAGCTTAGCCATGGGGAACCTCCAGCGATCCCCCACCACTCAAAAAAAAATTAAATATATAAAAAGAATATCGAAAGCTGCCACCACTTGGAGGGAGGGTGTGTCGCTGGCGCGTGTATCCGTGCATGTCTGTGTGTTTTTATTTGTGCGCGAGTGTGCAGAGCTGATGACTGTCTGTTGTACGGCTCAGTAGGAGGTGGAGGTTTGGTGAGGGAGGGGGTTGTGGTGGGGGGGACAAAGTGAAATAGCAGATAGCAGAAGAGACTGAAGACTCTGGCAGGAGAGGAGAGGAGAGGAGAGGAGAGCTGGCAGAGGCAACGCTACCCGTGCCTTGTCTCTCTGTGGCCTGTGACTGTACGACTGCTTTAAAATAAATAAATAAATAAATAAATAAATATATAAAAGAGTGTCACACACAAGCACGCTCAGCGCTGCCGTATGTGCCCGCTACTATTATTAACTGCCATAGGCGCACTCCAATATGTTCCGCTGCGCCTCGCTTTCCTAGCCGTGCATATGGCGCCAGCCCCGGTGTAAATAAACTCGTCTGCTCGCCGCATTCCGAAGTTGTCATGGCCGCCCCCCGTGTTGGCCCGGCTGCTGAGGACGGGCGATACTGCTGATTTTCTTGGCGATATGATACAGAGTGATGTCAATGCTAGAATATGAATACCAATAGCAGTAACAAAGTCTCTTTGTGCACTGATTTCTACAGTGAAAACTGTTTTTAAAGGATCACTGCATCTGCATCTCTATTGTTCTGTTTCTAATATAAGCAAATAATAAAAATTGATTGTATTGACTCACTTTTGTGTGTAAAAATATGCTTGAATTCCTACTTGACATGGTGGGCCCTAATAATCCCACTAACCCACTTCTATTGCATTTGTCAACAGAGTCTGGATTTAAGCCTAACATGTCTATAAGTAACACAAGGATACAGCCTGGGTTTTTACAGAATATTTAAAGGAAATATTACAGACACTCTACTCTTCGCTTTGCTGTAAATTCAATTTGCTGTGAATTCAATGTAAATGCAAAACCTGACAGAATATTAACTCTGAACTAACATAGGTTAAATGTTTTTATTACACTTGACTGGATACAATTTAGCATGATAACAACTCACATTTTGTAAGTGTTAGGCTTACATCATATTTGAAATACTGGAAGCAAAATGTTGTTTGCAGAATTCACATTCGACCTAAGAATCATTTTTACAGATTTGAAGAGCGCACACATAAAGGATTTTTATTAAAGATGCACAATGACATTGGAATAACATCAGTATCAGCAGATACTTAAAAAAAAAAAATCAGTATAGGACAGATGTTTAGATTTGACTGATATTTCAAACTGGTATTTGATGATGCATTAATGTGCATAGCTGGGATACTGTGCTAATATTTCGGCATTTTATTCATTTCACTGCATTCATAAACCTATATAATTAAAGGTTATATTCCTCCATAATGGCAATTCAAGCAGATGTAGTCCCATTTTTATTTCTTAATCCATACATATCTGTATTGGCAGATACGTACATGGAAAATATCAGATATCAGCATTTGCCCACAATGCCCATATCTCCAGCTTTGTAAATAACAAAATAAATGTGTCTCAATAAACTAAATATGCTACAATCAGTTGATCAGTGGACTAGAGGGACCTCCCCGAGCTTTAATGCATAAAAATGTTGAAAATGTGTAAGCATTTATTATTAGTCCTTTTAAAATAGCATTTCTGTCATTCATAAGCTGTTCATGCTTTTTTTTTTCAATGAAAAAATAAAATAAAACAATGAATGAGCTTATCAGGAACTAAAGTGAGCTTAAAAGATGGCTCCTTTAAACCCAGACTTCACATTGTTTAGGTTCTTTATTTCATCATTTTTAAAACAAATCATATAAAACTTATGTTGAAAGACAGATTAATTCTATCCTAAGCTAAAACACTAACAATAAAAATAATCCATTTGAAATATATTTAGTTATGGTCATGTGGGCTTAAGGGCTCCCCCCCTGTATTTGGTGGCGTAAATTCAAAGCACGCTTAATTTTCTTCCTGCAATCAGCATTGTAATTGTGTGACTTGTGCATGTATGAGATTGCAAAGAAAAGTAGGTCCTAATCTACATGATCATTTGCTGTAATTATTTCCCCCAATTTTTCAAACATCAGACACACATTCCATTACAGAGAATAAATATTAAAACTACAGACAAAACAATTCATATCAACACTTTTATATTTTATGTGAAGATCGATTCTCAAAAGGAAATTTCAAGACAAGATGCATCAATACTTTGGTATTGATTCACTCATTCCTACCAGCTACCTGCTTTCTAACAGTTAGCCAGCCTTTGCTGGTGGAGTTACATTTGAATCAAGTCAAATTTACACAGTTTTCCTGTCCAAAGTCTGCTTCTTTTGTTTTGCACTGGAGCTTTACGAAGTACATTACTGTACACAGCTAAGCTGAAACCATAAGTAAGTCTATGACTTGACTGACTTGAATTTAATGTTGTTTGTTGTGTAACATAGTATTCTGTAGTTCAACACTACATTACTCTGCCTCATCAGTTTGACAAAATTCACAATCTCACTACAATACCCAGCATGCATTACGCAAATGCATAACACAACCAATCGGAATCTCTAAGGCACTCAAAAAAACGTGACTCCTGCCAACTGATCTGGAGGCTAATGCACACATCCGTTAGCTAGCACTATTAATATAGCATTAATCTCTATTAGTCATTAAACTTCTTTTTGTTCAGGGGAACATTTCATCTGAGGAATTAGCCAGTGAGCAATATATACCCTAAAATAATCTTGCAGAGACTACTTCCACCTTCAAGATACATCACCAGAGGGGGGTTTTATACTAGAAAATCTCACTTTAAAGACTACTGTGGCCTTGCAGTGAAATATGAGTTGACATGTTTACAACAGATGCAGCAATGGTTATATCTTTCATTTCAGCCAGAGCATCCCTTTAACCTAATACCGAGCTACTGCTTTAACACTATGCAAGATCGGCACTGCAAACACACCTGCAGACTTCAAACACAATAATTGCAGAAGGTGCAGTGTAAACCGCTTAAATAAATATTTTTTAAATGTACAAATGGGGCACAGACTCACCCAGATTATTCTTAGAAAAAATGTAATGCTTCTAAGGTTATAAATGTAGTAAAATGAATGAAAAGTAGATATTTTATGATAGTAACCCAGCATCACCTAGACATTCACAGCCCAATACATTCGCAAACAAATATCCGTTCGAAATATCTGTCACATCTAAACATCATACCAATCTGATTGTGCATCTCTACTAAAAACCTCAACAATGACATCAGTAAACAGATTTCAAAGTCTTAACTTCATCAGACAGGTACTGAAGGAAATTCATTTAGACATTATATAGGTGAGAAGGGAAGGTAGCTAAACGCTAAGCTGTGGAAAT